ACAACACAGCTCAAACAGAACAAGAAAAATAGAGATTTTGGTCAAAACTTGATATTCAATGTTTCCCACTGGAAAGGAATAAGGACTACTTTCCACCGATCACCCTTAGCTAAGAGGATTCCTTCACTGTTGTTTCCAAAGCAGAAACTAAACGAAATGATTCCCTTCCGTACTTTCTGGAGCCTACTAACCACATGTGTGGAGCTAACCTTTCACTTTGCTGAACACACACACACACACACACACACACGAGTTTTCACTACATGAGCTGGTAATGCATCACTGTCAGAAACAACAGAACGTGTCCAGTGTGTCGACAACGTCAGGAGGGAGAAAACGTAAAAAAAACAGAAAAGTGACATTAAACAGCGTAGGGGCTGAAACATGAGGAAACATCCCTCTGTGTATATATGTGTGTGTGTGTGTGTGTGTGTGTGTGTGTGTGTGTGTGTGTGTGTGTGTGCGTCTGCAAAAGACTGATTACAAAGCTTGCCACAGAGCAGACACACACAACATTTAGTGGATGAAAGACAGCAAAACCTGAACAATGGTAATTATGCACAAGCACGTACGTGTGTGCACGCACACGCACACGCACACACACACACACACACACACACACACACACACACACACACACACACACAAAAATGGAAAACATGTTAAACTTGGATGCAAAAACCTGAACACAAAAGCAATTTTCCTTTGCGGCCAACACATTAAACACAGCCTCCATTCATATTAACATAATAAGCCAGACACTAAATTTCTACAAACAACTGTAGACACATATAAACAGATGGTCTCCTGAGTCAAGTATAGAAGGCATGCAGAGATATTTATCAAGTAAAGTATGTGAAAACAACAGATGATCAAATCTCTTCTTCTAGGGAAGCAAAAAACCAGAGGGAAAAAATATTTACTCCCTTTACTTCAAACTTCTTTTGTACAAACGCACATCTCACACACACACACACACACACACACACACACACACACACACACACACACACACACACACACACACAACACACACACACACACACACACACACACACACACACACTCTCCCAGTATGCAAAACACTCACCGTGTGTTTAGTGTATGTGTATGTGGGTATGAGTCGTCCCCTGCCAAAGTGCAGCGCTCCAGTGAGAGGCCAAACTCTGCTGTGGCTCTGGAAGCTCCCTGCCTGCCCCTCCCACCCATGCCTGTCATGTGACTCTGCACGCAAGGCAATAAAACACACCCACTTCCTTCAACTAAACCCCCGCCCCCTACACACTCTAACAAAGACAGACAAAAAAAAAGTCAACTTTAGCAGAGCAAGTAGAGAAAACGTAAGAGTTTAAAGATTGTTTAAGAGGACAATAACGAACAATAACTGAGCTCCATATAAAGAAGTTGGATGATTTGAGTTACAAACATAGACAGTATGGTTAGAAAGCAAAAGGCAGAGAGTGTGTGTGTGTGCATATCTACACTGCAGAAGACTGACATCAGCCTTTGGGCCAGCTCAATGTCCCTCTCCTCAACTCCCGGGATGATTTACAACCCTAATTACCTGGCCTGACCCTCTCATCTGCTCCTCAGGCTTTGCATTCATCGCATCCCACTCATTCTTCTCACACAGAGCTGAAACACATCACACATCAAACTATTGGGATGCCCCTTTGTCATTATAACAGTCAGTGCACTGATCAAATGTATTAAATTTAGTTTTCAAAATACTAACAAACACTTTGGTGCTCAAAACCTTTGGGTTATCAGTACCACCCCCTATGAATCAGGGCTACGCAGTTTTGGGACATACTTACTGTATTATGAAATGTTCTTATGTGCTGCAGAATGAGCAAAGGATATGAAGATATTTGCTCTTTCTCAAAAGAAGAAAATGTGGAAAAAAGCTGGGGTTTGAGGTATTGCATAATTCCACAGTAACTGAACTGAAAGGTTTTGGCAACAGTGAATAGCCCAGCAATAAACTCCTCACAAACACATTTCCAATCAACAGAAAAACACTACTAGCGTGATATAAAAATATCTGTATTATCACTATTAACTTATTATCAAATTATTTTGCATTTGCAAGACAGAACAATAAATAAAGTTATAATAATAATAATTAATCTAATAATTTTGAGAATTATGGATAGTAAAACTCAAAAGGTGCCTCAACAGTTGCAGTGATTTGGCAGCTGTCACTTATTTTCTGAAAGAAAAAAAAAGAAAAAAGAGAGCAAACCAATTACTTTGGCTAATTACTATTCTTATGGGGTATGTATATTTTGTGATTACAGACAAGAGGAAACAGCTGTCTCCAGCCTCACAGGAAGTGTAATTATACACCAGTTCAAGGGGCTAGAGTGCAACCTAACAGCCACATGAGCAGACACATATGCACACACAGGGCACCACCTGCATTCTTCCAGGTGAAGAGTCACATTTCAGAAAAAAAAACAAAAAAACAAAAAGGGCAAGAAATACAGATTTTCTTTATTTTATTACATAGCCTTAGCCGCCAAGATAAACTTTTCTCCAAGCACAAGCTGGCACCTCAGTGTCGAATGCTTGCAACACCCAGTGCACAATTTGTACCATGTCCATCTGACCAATATGAGGCATCATCTGGGGCCTTCAAAATTCTGCACTGTAGCAACATACAGTATTTAAAGCCCTTTAACTCTGTGTTGATTCTGGCAGCCCCTGCGGACAAAAGTGTTCATGTTTCCACCACATTGATTCATTGATTTCAAGAGGAATCTGACCAAATCCAACCTGGTGGCAGACATTAGGAGCAACTATATAGAAATAGCCCATGTTCTTATCTATTGTATCTATCTCTGTTAGTTTATGTATGTCATACAGAGGCATCAGTATTAGTGCGTTCCATAACCTGTTAGAAATTCCTTACAGTATGTTTAAACACACACGGTAGGGCCATCTGTGTTTGTGTTTATGTGGGTTGAATTTGTGATCAAAGTATAAAAAAAAAAAAAAAAAAACAGGTCTTACCAAATAAGGAGTTGAAATAAACCCTAGTGATATTTAGTTTTACAATGCGGGACACGGTACATTTTCCCCAAACTAAGGGCCCCCCTGTCTTAAAACCATTCGCTCTTTGCCTTCTCTCTTTTCATCTCCCTTTCTCTGTAACTCCACTTTATCACCCCCAATAAAAACCTGGTGTTTAAACTGGAAAATGCAGATAAAACTGACAGGAGTTAGTAGTGGGTTTAGAAGCTACTAGATCGAGTTTGCTGGTCTCAGCTAGCTGGGTATTCAATCGCCTCGGCCCCATTTTGGAATACTTAACAGCATATCCCACTGGAGTTCTTTAAGACTAGATTTGCTTTTTCTCACTGTGTTCTTTACAAAGCTGGATGATGCAGACATGACCATAGGAGGATATAACACAAGTACTGTGTTGACTCCGTCCACACATCTCTACAGAAAATAAAAGAAGCCACAGTGTTGTAAACTGAAACAGACAAAATAAAATAATTTCTATATCACATAAATAGAGGCAAACAAATGCAAAGTGTTCTTTGCTTTCAATGGAAAACACCATGTAACACAGAAATCCAGTGTGTCATAGCAAAGATACACTGTTGTTTGAAAAGATAAATTAATGGGCTAAACCGCTTTGTACCAACTCCGAGTCCTAAACACTTCTCCTCTCCTCACTTTCCCACAACTTTTCTCTGCAGGCTTAACTGCTGCTAAGTCTGTGTCAGCTCTAAAAAAACTATGTACTGTAAGCTGACACATGACTTTACAGACGTTATTAATAGGTTAAAAAAGGCCTTTTGTGAGATTTAAATAGAAAGATTTCCATTCTCTCCCATTCGAAGCTTTTTCTTAACTGACGCTGACTCCTGAGTGAACCCTGCATGCATTCAGAGCGAGCCAACCATCATTTGTTTGATCCAACATAACTTGGCGTGCTTCTTTCTTTCAGAGTTGCTGCCCTGCTGGGGACATGGCCTTCTCAGATAGAAAGATCTTCATCTTGAGGAGACGGGGGATGGAGTGACAGAAGGCCAATGGCAGGCGCTGATGTTTCTAGGCCCGCGCTGAGCCAAGATGGTGTCATGTATTGGCAGGCGGAGTATAGGGCTGCCTGGCTGACCCCTGACAGTGCTCTTCACAGCTGTCCAAGGTCTTTCATAACACAGAAACATGATGGATAGAAGTAGCATGACTCACTGGGTGCATTATATTAAACGCATTACTGTCTGGTCCCTGCAGAGTGAAGTGAATGCTATGTATGAACATTTGTGTTTATAATACAATGCTATCAAAAGGGAACACACAGACATCTTGTGTCCTGCAAGTTTGCTAAATTAGCATACAGTGGGTTTTAGTGCTTTAAACCAATAGACATTTTAAAAAAAGACCTTCAGAAAAATTACGAGGGCATCGTCACACAGGATCGTTTGTACAGTGCTCTTGTGCTCCCCATGTGAAAGATGTGGGTGGTGACCACAGAGAAACTAAATGTTTCCTTTGTGTGTGTGTTTTGAATCTTTTGCCTTTCCCAAAGGGAATTACCACAGCCTCCATACAGGATATCCACAGATCTGTCTCTGTATGTACGTGTATGTGTGTGTGTTGTGTGTGTGTGTGTGTGTGTGTGTGTTACAGGAGGTGTCACATGGATCCACTTCTCTGGGAAAAGCGGAAGCATTTCCCTGGTTTAGATGATTTATAGTAAACAAAAAACAAACATTTGAAACAGCTCCCCCACACTTAACTGTGCCATGTGCTGTATGTATACAAACAGAGTGAGACAGCTGATCTGCTGTTCAGTGTGTTTCTAAATGTACATCATAATGGGCTTTAAAAGCAGCACTGACACAAAGCTTTTACGAGCTCCAGGACTGACACAGTCCAGGTGTGTGAGACCAACTACCTGTGTGAGAGCATCTCCTGCTGGTCGCTGCTAGAGTTGCAACAGGGCTATTAAAAGCAACACTTGTATAATTAGTTTCATTTACACGGAAACGGTAACCGAGCTACGCCTGCTTTCACACAAACACAGAGATCAGATTAAACGGATCAGACACTTGGTCGCAGCAGACTTATGCAGGTGAGCCCTCTTACTTTAAATCAATACTTTGATTTACCATGACAGTATTTCACATGATTGGTGAAGCATTTAACTCAAGTTCTCTTTGTAAGTGTTCTCTCCTCTTTGCTTTACTATCCCTCCAACACCGTCTGTGGAAACATGAAGGTAAAGAGGGAATTTTGCAGTGTAAGGAGTGTAACTTTGGCTGCTGTAGCCTCATATTAACTTCAGGTGAATAAATTTCTGCACAGAATGAGGACTGTAAATGTTGTTACCTATCTCTAGTTACAAACACGTGTATAGATTAAGAATATATGGTTAATAATGGCAGCAATTTCTTTTTAAATATCTATACACAGGATGATGAAGATGTCAGGAAGAGTCACAAGTTGCTGTGTAGCTCTGTTCCTTGTCCTGAACTCTGTGTCAGCGGTGCAAAGGCTCAATTCAATTAATGATTTGATGAGAGTCAACTTTGGCCCATCTGTGCCCAAGCACAGTCTGATTCTGCTCCACTGGTTTGCCAACACAGTTGACATTGACAATGACAATTTCATATGGCTGACCTTTGACCCGAACAGTGGAGACTATGGATCACATCATTATGGCAACTATCAGCGGATCTTGCCTCGCGGATATCAGTACTACACTGTTGGAAATCTCAATCAAGACACGTCCATGCAACTTCCAGCTTATGTTGTCAACCCTCCAACGGAGTATTCGGGAAGAAACAGGGACAGGATCATAATCAGAGTCCAGGAGCAGGACACACGAAATGGAGCTTTGCGGATAGACGAAGTGTATATCACACAGCATTATGACACTTTTGACCATCAGAGGACATCTTATGATCCAGATCACACCTACCAGCTCACTATTTACCTCTTAAGACAGATCAGAGAGTTTTCTGTGGCACAAAACCAACGACCACTGTCGCATCTCAGAAACCATTTTGGAAATAACATTGAGGATTTCCAGTTAGAGCATATCAGAAACACATGGGGTAACCTAGCTTGCCTTGGACTGCTGTTGTTTATTGTGTTCCAGGAAAGATACTCATTTAACCTACAAGGTTACTTTCACAAACAAAACAACAGCGCACAAATTGGACAAAGTCATTGGGATCTTGGTAAAGCCAGCAGGAACAGAAAACCAGGGAGTTACTACACTCCAGAACCCCAGTCCAACTGGGAGGGGTTGAGCTGTTGTCAGCTTTGTTTTGCCTTTGTATGTTTTGTTGTTGTGCTGTTGTTTGTTATAGTAGCTTTTAATCTCCCTAAGGTGTAAGCCTGTAAGAGGTTATGAGTTTGGTCATGTGTGTATCTGTCTGCAGCTAATCTTGCATACTACTGGACCAATCAGCCTCATATGCTCTATGCACATTTATGACCACTCAGGATTGATGATCGACAATTTTTGAAAAAACAGGAAAAACTTATTTTATTGCCTGCTCTGTTTTATGCCAACTGCCTGCTCCCTAGTTGTGGCTCAAAACCTGAAACCCATAGAAAGATCGCCCCATCTATAACCAGAGCATCTGCAGATTAATTCCAGTCCTGAAATGTTACGATCTACTAAAGTCTGACACTGTACCTCACTGGCCGCTGTCGTATGGTCACCACTATCCATCTGCACGGTCATCATATTGGAGAGGTCAAGAGCTACTAGAAAACACTACAATGTGTATTGAGAGATGCAGACTTCCCTACAAAATCATGTTACTCATTTAATTCTGCACTGCTTTTAGTGAAATTTGGTTTGTGATCAACATGAGAAACTCAACATGACACTGGTTACTAGTTGGAATTAAATTCAGTTACTGGGGGCAGATGTACTCAGCTCTACGGCAAAAGATTAAACTTCTGAAGAGCCACAACTTCCACTGGGACACACAGGGGCCGATCTATGAATAGGCAACGTCAAACAGCAGTTTCTATATCTACTACATTGTTATAGGGCTGTCTGGTTGCTTGTAATGTTCAAAATAAATAACAATGTTATAAACAGCAATGTTAAATTTAGTAGTATATACCACCCAGTTTTTTCGTATTAAGTTTATACAGTTAGGCAAACCCAGGATGCTCAGTTACAATACCATTACACTATTATATTAAAGAAAACTAATACTATACTAGAGAAAAAAACTTTATTAAAAACTTTGCATACATCTATATAAGACCAGCACTATATTATACAAACAAAATGTGTTTTTGTGGGTTGTATCTGGTAGTAGGTGCAGCATTGCAGTAGGTGCTTTACATAAAAGCTTTTGCCTGGCAGAGATCTGCACTCTGAGAGAACTCTTCTAGTTTGTAAATGTTGTACAGTTAAGATTGAGATATAGGCTCGGTATAATATGCTTGTGATTTAGGGGTAAAATATTTTAAACCACCCATCTCAAACTGTGTGCTATGAAGGGCTATTTTTTGTTCTACAATCACATGAAAGGAAGAGAGAAAGAGTTAATCATACTATTGAGATCGCTACTATTAAACAAGATGAAAATATCACCCTTTACGGATGGGAAAATATTATTTTATAAATACTTTATTCAGACTGTAGGACCAGAGTTATCAGTGATCCGCATATGTTCACAGAGAGAGGAGGAGGTAATCAGTAAATGAAGGTGATGTAACGTTTGCCTGGACTGAAAACCTGCAGACTTTGACATTTTTGAATATCACACTGTTTGAAACATCTGCAGTAAATAACAATATTTGGAAAGACTTTACCTGTCTGGAAAAATTACAAAAACATCCCGAAAGATCAAAATCAAAATGAGTTTTAAATGTTGTTATAACAATAAGGAGGTCTAAGGGGTTGTATTTCACCAAAAACACATCTGGACATCATGTTGAGCTTTTATAGGTCTATTTACAAAATTGCTATTTGAAATGTGTCTTTACTTGCAAAGCTTTGGGAAAATGGCTTTCATTGTATATAATAATGCATTGCTTTGGCATGGTAATAAAGTGCCAGGCTTCATTTAAGCAACAATGTCTAATCTACAGTAATAGCAGTGACTCACTGCCAATTCATCCTGTGTCTGCTAGAGATGAAGAGAATGGAGAATGGAAGATCAACTTCAACTATTCCTTGTTCTACAGGCACAGTAGATCAAATTAAGCATACTATGGTGGTATGAGCTTTGAAGAACAAACTAGTATTGGTCCCACATTGTATTTTACTGCTTATATTTTGACAATTGTTGAACCTGCATTTTCTGACGTAGTATTAATCATAAATGTCGATGAAAATATAATATTTTACAGATGGGAAAATATTGGATAAATCAGTATTAACCTTCTGGTTTATTTTTAGGCCAAATTCCTTGTATGTGTAAAAACTTACTTGGCAATAAACCAGATTCTGATTCTGATTCTGATTCTGTTTCTAATTCTGATTCTGATTCTGGTGACTCAGTGATGAAAAGCCACTAAGTCTTTGGTTCAAATCCAGCTGAAGAACTTTTGTCCTCAGGTCATCCTCGTCTCTCAACCCATTTGTCCTGTTGTCAACTTCTGACACACTTCAGTCCCGTGATGGCACAATGTCGAATATAAAAACAGAAGCTTGTTTCATGCAAACGGCTGTATTATGAAACTTCCTGAAACAACCAGCAACTACAGCCGGAAGTTTCAGCGGTTTCATTTTTAGATAAACGATAACTGCGTGCTCTCACACAAACACACAGACCAGAAACCTGACTGCAGCAGATTAAAGAAGGTAAACTCTCCTTTTTTCTGATCGCTAGTTTTGAATTTACCATGATGTCGTTTCACATGAATGGTGAAGCATTTAACTCAAGTCTTATTTCTAAGTGTTGTCTACTTATTATCCCTCCAATGCAATTTAACAAGGAAGCACTGTGCTTTGAAACATGTATTTCGTAGTAAAAAGACTAACTTTGGAGGATACTCACTTATTCTGATTAACTCAGGCCGCTGATATTAACTTCAGACGAACTTTGGAATACTTTTTTGCTCAGAATGAGGACTTTGGATTTTGTCCCTCATCTCTTGTAATGTGTGGATTGAGAATGTACAGTATGGACGAATAATGCTGGCAATATCTTTTTAAATATCTATACAGGATGATGAAGATGTCAGGAAGAGTCACAAGTTGCTGTGTAGCTCTGTTCCTTGTCCTGAACTCTGTGTCAGCGGTGCAAAGGCTCAATTCAATGAATGATTTGAAGGGAATCAACTTTGGCCCATCTGTGCCTAAACACAGTCTGATTCTGCTCCACTGGTTTGCCAACGCAGTTTATATTGAAAATGACAATGACATAAGACTGACCTTTGAACCAAACAGTGGAGATTATGGATCACATCATTACGGCAACTTTGAGGGGATGTTGGACCCACTGCCTCGGGGATATCGGTACTACACTGTTGGAAATCTCAATCAAGAGATGTCTATGCAACTTCCATCTTATGTTGCCAATCCCTGTAGGGCGTATTCGGGAAGAAACAGGGACAGGATCATAATCAGAGTCCGGGAGCAGAACACACGACGCGGAGGTTTGCAGAGGATAGACCAAGTGTATATCACACAGCATTATGACACTTCTGACTATCAGGGGACACCTTATGATCCAGATCACACCTACCAGATCACTACTAACCTCTTAAGACAGATCAGAGAGTTTTCAGTGAGAGAAAACCAGCAGCCACTCTTGACTCTCAGAAACCGCTACGCAAGAAACATTGAGGAATTCCAGTTAAGGCACATCACAAACACATGGGGTGACCTTGCTTGCCTTGGACTGTTGTTGTTTATTGTGATTGAGGAGAAGTACACCTCTAACCAACGCAACAACAGACCAGAAAACAGACAAAATCATCATGGTGGTATTGCTTCAGTTATCGACAATTGGTTGATCTTTATTGTATTGTTATTATTCTTGTTTTTGATCATTTTCTCAGCATATAGCAAGAAATGAGTTAGAGTGATGTTCCTACATAATGTCTAAGCCAAGTTATCACAGTAATGCTTTTCAAGCATAATGAGGACCATGAAACCAGCACAACTTATAATTGGGCTGGGAACATCAGGCAGTTACGTATGGAGCAGGACAGTGACTTTAGATTTTGGCACTGAAAACAATTATTAACTGAAAAAGGAAACATTGGTAACTTTCAATAAATAATTGACTTAACGTTTCATTTTTGACCATGCACATATGTTATATTATTCACATATTTTTGCATTCTGATGTGTTTTTAATCTTTAAACGGACAGCTTCTATTTAGTGTCAAATTATTTCAGTTTCAATTCTCTGTCACTGTTGTGGAGGGTTGGAGAGGTTTGAGGGGAGGGGACAAGAAGAGTGATTTCCATATAATTTTCATGCTACAAAAACTGTCCTCGCTCTATAGTTACGACACACCTTGAACAACATAGAAGGGTTGTTAATTGATGCTATGTTTTGCCTTCATAAGTTTCCTTTTATTGTGTTCTATATTAGCTTTTTTATATAAGTTGTACAGTTAAGACTGAGATAAAGGCTTGGATGGTATAACATGTCTGTGATTAAAGGCCAAATACTTAAAATCACCCAACTCAACCTGTGTGCTATGAAGGGCTCAGAGTCTTCAGAGTTTCAGTCCTACAAGTCAAGTAATTGAACTTCATCCAGACTACAGAAGCAAAGTACAAACAGTGATCAGCACATGTTCCTCATCAAGAGAGGAGGAGGTGATCAGTGAATGAAGGTGGTGTAATGTTTGGAACTGCAGACTTTGACCAACATGGCAGCGTTTGAGACACCTGTTGGAAATAATATTCGGATGGCCTTGCTTGAAAAAAAAAACAAAAACAAAAAAACACAAAATCATCACAAAAGATCCAAAACAGGATGATAGTTTTAAATTCTATTACACGAATAAGGAAGTGTAACGACTGCAAGATTGAAGTTTGTAATTTCTGCTGAACAACAGCAGAAATTATTTTTATCATAAAACTATTTTCACTGAGAAAAATTGCTTTCATTGTATATAATAATGCACTGCTCTGGCATAATAACAATGCAGCAGGCTTCATTCATGCAACAATGTCTAATTTAAGAGAAGTGACTCACTGCTAATTCACCCTGTGTCTGCGAGAGATGAAGAGAAATCAGCTTTAAAAAGTTTAGCATATTTTACTTATGATTTTGTATTTTTACAGTGTTGAAAAATGTGTTTATTAAACTACAATGTTTAATGTTTTAGTCAGACCCATGTCAGTGTTTTTATTTAAATAAAATAAATGTATAACTGGATGAGCTCAAGTTAGATTTGTCGAATCATGTTCAGGTCTGTTTGGGTTCAGGCAAGAATTTTGTACAGTAGAACTGTAAAATTTAAAGACTTCATAAGATTATCAGGATGAATATAAGATGACAGTAAATATTAAAAAGTGACCTTTAATGGAAATCACAATGCAAATTTGACTGAAGAAAAATAGTGAAAAATGCAGCCTATAAAACATGTACATGCTGCGATTTGAAATTGACCTGTGAATACTGGTTAATAATAAGCCAGGCTCTACTATAAATCTTTTGGTTCCTCACACTGCAGTCCAAAGGACACACTCAGTCAGATTTGGATCTGAGCAGACTAATTTCCATCCTAACCCTGCTCATAAAATTCCCACTGACTCACAGAATAAATCCTCTTCTTACAGAATTGCTCCACTCAAAAACTGTAAACAAAAATAATCAGCTTTTTAGCTTTTCTACACGAACATTTATCCCAACAAAACACTGAAAGGGAGTACACATTTTATTTTTTTGAATACAGAAGGAAGTTGCATCTAAAGAGAGATGTATTATCAAACCTTCCTGTAACCACTAGTTATGCTTGTTTTGCTAGTTTCATTTACAGCAAAATGAAAGCTAAGCTACGCCTGCTCACAGATAAACACAGAGATCAGTTCACAACAGATCAGACAGATCAGACAGCAGGCAGCAGCAGACTAACGCAGGTGAGCTCTCTTATTTTCTGATCAATGGTTTTTGATTTACCATGACACTATTTCACATGAATGGTGAAGCCGTTAACTCAAGTGTTTTCTCCTCTTTGTGTTACTATCCCTCTAATATTGTTTGTGGAAAGGGTAACTGTAATTTTGGATACTGATACTTGCTTTGATTAACTCTTAAACTGTTGTTTTACTTATTTGTTTTGAAAACTGTCAAGTGTCAACCTATCCTTTAGGTATTAGAACAGATTAGAAAGTTACAAATGTACATGTATGAATTAAGAATATATGGATGAATAATGGCAGCAATATCTTTTTAAATATCTGTACAGGATGATGAAGATGTCAGGAAGAGTCACGAGTTGCTGTGTAGCTCTGTTCCTTGTCCTGAACGCTGTGTCAGCGGTGACAAGGCTCAAATCAATCAGTGATTTAAAGAAAATCAATTTTGGCCCATCTGTGCCCAAGCACAGTCTGATTCTGCTCCACTGGTTTGCCAACACAGTTAACATGGACAATAACAATTTCATATGGCTGACCTTTGACCCGAACAGTGGAGACTATGGATCACATCATTATGGCAACTATGAGGGGCTACTGGAACCACTGCCTTGGGGATATCGGTACTACACTATTGGAAATCTCTATCAAGAGACGTCCGTGGAACTTCCACCTTATGTTGCCAATCCCTCACTGGAGTATTCGGGAGAAAACAGGGACAGGATCATAATTAGAGTCCAGGAGCAGAACACAGGACGTGGAGGTTTGCAGATAGACCAAGTGTATATCACACAGCATTATGACACTTCTGAACATCAGGGGACACCTTATGATCCAGAGCAAACCTACCAGATCACTACTAACCTCTTAAGACAGATCAGAGCGTTTTCAGTGAGAGAAAACCAACGGCCACTGTTGACTCTCAGAAACCGCTTTGGAAGTAGTGCCGATGTTTCCTCCATCGCCAACACGTGGGGTAACCTTGCTTGCCTCGGGCTGCTGCTGTATATTGTGATTGAGGAGAAGTACTCCTCTAACCAACGCAACAACAGACCGGAAAACAACAGACCGAAAAACGACAACCGACCAAAAAACAACAACAGACCTAAAAACAACTACAGACCAGAAAACAATTACAGACCAGAAAACCATTACAGACCAGAAAACTATTACAGACCAGAAAACTATTACAGACCAGAAATTAACAGCAGACCGGAAAACAGACCATGTCAATGCAGTCTTTGTTCTTTGGTGAAGTACTGTTTCATAATATTTATTTTGGTTTCATTAATTATTTTTTTGGCCGTTTATTTTTCAGTCCTTCAGAAGAAATGAGAGAGAGAGTAATGTTCCCAGATATTGTCTGAACCAAGGTGTGATGGTGGAGCTTTCTAGAACAATGAGGACTATGAAACAAGCACAACTCGTAAGTCAACTGGGAACACTGAAGCGACTTTAGATTTTGGCACTGAAAACAAAAATTAAATCAAAAAGGAAACACTGGAATTGAAACACATGTATTCAGAAAGTTGTGCATGTTAGGCACTAAATAATCCAAACGTCCAATAAGGAATGAATGCAATACCCTCTTTTTTGACAATGTGATTACAATCTCATTTTATCTTGATATATTTTGCATTTCTCAAAGACAATCAAAGGCTTTTCTTCATGTCAGTCTATATTTACTCAAAGTTTATTTTGTACGCTGACAGTTTTTATTGTGTTCTGTGTTGAAAATTGTGTTTATGAAACAATAATGTGTCAGATTTTATTTTAAAGTTGGATGATCACAGGTTTGCTGTACAAAATAAAAGATAAAGACCAGCGAGTGTCAGTGTTTTTAACAGCATGTATGCTTCATGCAAAAAACACACACCCACACACACTTTATCAGACCATTTCCATCCCTTGTGACATGCACAAGTTCTTATTTCTAGCCAAGTCCCAGGCAGGCCTATCAAAAGGCCTTTATGTTTGTGTGAAAGAGACGAATACTGTTTTAATGTGGTGAAACAAGGATAGCGCTCAGCAGGCCAGCACAAGACTCAGCAGATCATAAGATAATGAGTCATCATCAAAAACTGTTGCAGGCTCAACTTTAAGAAAATACTAATACAATCAAAGATTGATGCAGTTCAGAGCCAATTGTTAATGACAGACAGGCACTATTGTTTAAAAGCTGACACATTCAATCTATGCACACCATTTCACTAACAATGTGTATACATGTTCTGTTTGATAACCGGGTCGATGTGAAGAGGAACGGCAGGAAACATCTTATTCCTGTTGCAAAATAGAGATACAGAGCCGAACACGTTTTGTTTTGTTTTCATGTTGGTGAATTGACTTAATCAAAATGTAAACTCAGTGTCAATCGTTATTATTTGAAAGCATGATAAATAATAGTAAAATCAAATCAAAATGACGAACATCACAAGCTCATGTTTGTTTTGTCTAACCAACACTTCAACATATAAAAGATTAAAATGATTAAAATGATATACAATGCAGAAAACTTCATATTTCAGTCACCGGAACCAGAAACCATTCAGCATTAGGCACTTAATTAAACTAAAAGCTACAATTAATCTTTTCAAAATTGTTGCTAAATAACATTCTCACTACATGGCATGAGAGAAATTCATCTTTTTATCTTTTTCTCGCACACAACAAACAACAAAATGCTGCACCAAAGATTAGAGCAATAAGTCAACAGCTTATTCAATAAAGGTGACAAGAAATCAACTATGATATACCACTATATCAACTGTAAACAGCATTTTTGCTGATGAGAAGATGAAGTATACGTTTAGTTTTAGGGGGCTATTAGTCACCAAGATACAGCACAACTTTTGAAAGTTAAAACATCTGCAATAATTTGCTCCAGGGTCTCGATGTTTGCCATGTAAACAGTAAAAGATTGCTGCGTCCCCGCTGTGTCGATACATACTAATTGTTCTACATGTTGTCCTAATACAGCTGTTGTAATTCATTTCTTTACCTTATGTGAACCACCCTAATGCCTTTGTGTGAAGGCGTCGCACCCCGCCTTGTCTTATCGTGCTGACTTTTGGTCCTGCCTTGCCTAAGCTAACGTGCATGAATCAACATAACCACCTAAAAATACACAAGATAAATAAAACAAAAGATCACAAACTAACCCTGAACTATCCCTTTTACTTTCACCTTTGGATCTCAGTGAGTAAGGGATGTATACTCCTTAACTCAGACACACTCATCTAAATGTTAGCCAAGTTTATGCTTGCAAAATAAAAGTGTCTTTTCCCAAGATATTGAAACTGACTCTGTAGCAGTCAAAATAAATAAAGGTCAAGGCACGGGACAGGAAAGATGAGCAGTGTACAGAATGAATGAATGCGTGTGTCTGAAAACATGAGATCACATCCCGTTGAAATGCCACAAGACTGGATACAGCTGCTCATCATTATACTCGACAAATCAACCGAAACTGAGCATGTCATTACGGCACCTTGTACTCTACAGCCGCCACAAAAACAACCAGCTTATCGCTTATCAGCATGTTCATCCGTCACCCTCCCCAGGGCCAGAAATTCTTAACCATGTCATCTGTGTGAGCATGAACGTATACGCTGAAAATGCGCGCGCACATGAGCGCAGACACACAAACACACAAACACACCAAGAGCCCAGAGACGGTAGATCCCAGTTAAGAATCACAAGCCCTCCAGCCATAATCTAATGGGCCACACAAAAAGTCCCACCGGATACAGTGCTGACACAAAAGTAAACAACAAAAGATACAAACTGAAGACATTCCCAGTTTGTCCTTCTAAAAAATACAACATGTTTATGTAAAAATAACTGCTTAAAAAAGAATTTGTCTGAATGTGCGCTGTGTGTACTTGTTGAGGAAATGGAAAGTAAATTGTAGTTTTGGGCATGTCGTCAAAGCAGTGTGGTCTGTCGGTTTAGTTTTACTCCCAAATGACTGGAGGTTAAAGTGGGCTTTTCTCATTTTGTTTTCTCCCTGCAGACGAACTTTACAGGAAATGACTCCTCTGTTTCTCTCCGTTTCTCTCCACCTCCTCCCCGCTCCTCACTTCTTCCCAAGCTTCTTCAAATGTGGGCTTCCCTCCCCTTCCACCCCTCCCCTCCCCTCCCACCACATGCAGCATGAGCAGGAAGGTGGTAATCTGAGCCAAATGTGGCAGAAGTTGAGACTTAATCGTCTCACTTTGCCTTGCTCATTTCCCTTCTACGGACACACGATGCCACATTTCAGATATTCAACATGCATATTTGCTGACCAATTCTGTGGTGCCCAAGAAACTTTAGTAAAGTAATATCCTCAGCAAGAGGCAGAAATAAAATTAAAATCCCTAGCTGTGTGCAAAGGAAGTGCAGTGGATACAGAGAGACACGAAGGGGCAACACACAGCATAAAAACTGGAAATTGGAGGCTTTCTATTTTTATGTTTTATGACCTCCAGATTTGGAATGTATCACCTCCCAGCCGCCTACGCCTGGATACTACTCGACCAGTGAGAGGAACCCATGAGCACAGCTGTCTCCAGATAACACTGCTACACACACACCATACACATACCAGTGTGAAGATGAGCCGTTCTAATAGGATCAGAGTTAAGGAAGGAAACAGCACAAGTAACCTGCAAGTAAAGTGGGGATTTTGAAGCCAATGCATACCAAAAAAAAGCATAAAGACACAATTTCCCACAGCAACCAGAACCAGTTCCAAGGTCACACTCTATTGAAGAATACTTTTGAATTAAACACAATGAAAAGATAAAGCACGCCACTGAAAACTATAACCTATGCTCATAATTACCAGCTTTGCACTTGCAGTTATACTTATCCAAAAAATTTAAAAAAAAAAGACTAAAAGCTAATGGATCCTGGAGGCTGCAGTTCATTACACTCCACGTAGCAAAGAAACATATAAAATAAACACACTGACAATGTAGGTATTCATAAAACTTGACCAGTAATACAGCTAAATATACAGTTTAACCTGGGGGTGGCGCTAAAAGAGAGGTCATGGGGTAACCTTAAATATCCAGTTTCTTCCTGTGAGTTTAGTTTTATAAAGATACCTTGTCGTACAACGAAGGTATCGTTCTGTAGCTAGGATAGCCCAGATAGTGGTGTTATAACAAAGACCAGAGAGTAAGAAAAAGTATTGGGAAAACTTTAGGGATATCCAAACTAAATGTCATGGCAGTTTTGTAAGAGGTAACTTAAGGATGTCTTGACTCTCCATCAACCCTGCCACCATAAAGCCCTGCTAGATTTGAGGCAAGTAAATAAACCTTTCTCTGTCAAATCATGCAAGGCTTTTTTGTCGGATGGCTGGATTAAACTGGATTCAATGGCCTTTTCCTTCCACTCCTGACCTGGTCTGCCTAAGAACAGAACAACAGAACAATGACTCACCAGAATGCAGTATATTACCACAGTTATGGGTTATTTCTTGATGTTGCGCCTCGGTAAAACCAATACTTGTGGCGCAAGCTTCTACAAAAACATCTGATACTCCGTTTGAGCTTGGCATCATGTCCGTACCACATGTCTGGGATGTTAGTCAGCAGTAGCTCAAAGGTAAAATCTAACTGCATTGTCTTGACAAGGATATATTTTGTTATTATTATATCATGTTAATAAAATAATAAGTACAGTAGTGATCACAAAAGTGCTACAAAAGTCCTCTAAGCAACAAATACACACACACACAAAAGTTCAAAAACATCCGTAGCTACCAAATTTGTTCACTAGCGTCTTAATAATACCTTATTAAAATTACAATCAAGGAAATCAAACCTTCCATTTAGATATGAGTACATGCACCTACTGCATATTCAACACACACCAAAGATTTTAACCAGTGGCTGATTCAAGTTCAAGTGAGCTGGGTTATTCAGTTGCTTGCCTGTTTTAACTGTTGTCCTGGGAGCGGCCCTGTGATTCTCATCATCAACCTCCCTGACCTACATTCACAGTTAGTCTAGACTGACAAGCTCTCAAGGACTCGAGCTTGTGCTCTTCACGGCTGGTACTGTTACTTCACAGCTGCCTCACTGGTGGAATAAAAACAGCAGAAATGCTGAATAAATACAAAATAAAATCAGTATAGGTTCAAATGTGTGTCCTACTGAATTACAGAGCTCCATTTCATTATCAAATTCAACACGAATTTCACAACATTCCGTGTGCGGCAGAGATTAGACTGTGGTTTTAGAAAGAGGAGACATATATTGTATGTGAATCAAGGTAGATGTATGATTCTGTGTGTGTGCATACATACGTCTGCAACAAGACTGTGAGAGTTGGTTGCAAGATTAAGTTAAAACGAAACGGTCGTAAACATAAAAGGAGAAACTGAGCAGCGACATGGAAAAGCAATGATCAGATGATTTCATCACAGTGTAATTGCTCTCCAACTGTTGCAAGTCATTGGATTTAAAAAGATAGGTCATGCTGAAACCAGTTACAACTCAAATGAGGACAATCAAACACACAAGCACTCTATGGGTTAACTCCTCCTAGAGCAGTTCACTTCGATGAAGATAATTTACCCTGGGAAACTCTTATTTTACACACAAAAAAGTCTGTTTAGAAAACACGGTAGTCTGAGCAGGTACTCACGGTTTGTTGGTCGGGCTGTGGGCGGCGGCTCTGTGACGGGTGACTGCACCCTCTCCACCCTTGGCTCTGCCAGGGAAGGCAGGGGAGCACTAGGGGCAGGAGGCGGGTGGTTGTTGTTCTCCACTGCACTGCCTGCCACCAAACCATCTGGCTGCCTGAAGACCGGCATCTCAGGCCTCCTGGGGGCCCCCTCAGCTGGGCTGAGGATCGGGGATGGGGGCTCTGCTCTTCTCTGAGGGGGCTCAGGGATCCTTGAGACTGGGGCTGAGGACAGCTGGGCATCCATCCTCCTGGGAGGGGCGGGGGGCTCACTGGGCCGCGTCATGCTCAGCTCTGCCCGCCTGTTTGTGGAGCTGGAGATGGAGTTGGAGGAGCTGTCCAGGGGAGTACTCCGACTGCTCAGGCTGACCTCAGGTCGCTTGAGGCCAAAGCGGGCGATGCCAGCACTGGGCGAGTTGTCGATCTGCTTCGAGGAGACCTCAATAGAAATTTCTGTGCGGCGGGAAGAGGCTGTGTCAGGGTTACGACCCCCTGATAACTCAACACGCCTCATGCCGGTCTTTGGGGAACGTGGATTGGAGGACTCGGAGGGGGAAGATCTGGTAGAGGAGTAGTCGGAGTTGCGGGAACTCAGGTCGTAGCTCCGCTGGCTGGACGTGGAGGAGGTGGATGAGCGGAGGGGGTTGGTGGTCCGACGAGACAGGGGAGAAGGGTGTGTGGATGAATCCGTCTCCTCCACCTCAAACGACCGTTTCAGCGCTGGAAAACACAGAAAATTTGTGGTTAGACATGAAACAGAAGAACCTCTTAGCCCATACAGATGCTGGCTAGATTCACAGCACCAGCATCTGTCTGATATTTAACTGTATTCATTATTAAAACATCTCCTGGTTATTATGCAAGAGAAGAAGAGAACAAATCAGATAACATGAAGGCCTGAAGCGGAGATAATTCTCATGACTTTTTCATTCAGTGGTGGCATTGTACAGAGTTTGTTTTGGATCAGACAGAAACTCATTGATACTCCATAAAAACACTGCAGCAACTTAAACTCAAACCAGCACCACAGACTTTACAGAAAGTTGGTGCAACCATTTATTTTTATCAAAGGAGGAAGATAACATAAACACCTGCCTAACATAGTAAAAGAAACTAACTGTTGACTGTTGTGCAGAAGCAAATATACTATAACTCAAGCTGAGGAGCAGTCAGCTGTAGAACAGGTAGCGATACCACGCTGGGGACAAATGAAACGTCAGTATAAAAATGGCTCAGGGCCTGCATACAACCACATTTCACCACAACGAGCATCGACACTTCAAGTATGGTTGCAGTTATCTTTTTTTACAAACTGCTGTAGCCTCCCAAAATAAACTCCATTGTCGGTCCTACCTGATTTCACACGCTTCACGTATCTCGACAGCATGTTGTTTGTGATTAATAACCCAGCCGATGAAAATATTCCTTTATTCTCACCAAGCAGGTTTTAATAACGTTGTCAGGTACAAACAAGCATCTGCACTGAGCGGGAAAACGTCTCTATTAAATCCTCTGGCTAAAGGTTTTATCAAAGCACACGGACATCTCCTTGACATCTCGCGCACCTGTTGACGTGACGACTATCCGACTGACCACGCCTCGCGAGAGCGCTCTAATTGACCGCGTGACCCCTGAGCCCATTCGTCAATCAATGATGAAACTATGTTTTTTTTTCACTGAACATATTATACTTATACTTACAAAATTGATATTTAAACAACAAGGAAATTAAAATATGTGTCCTGTAACCTCGCTGGTTTTATAGTAGAATTCTTCTTTTAAAGCAAATATATCTTAAAATAGCATTTTTCTTTTTTTTATAGCATCTATTTTTATTTTATTTTTTTATACTCAGGCAACTATTTGGCTTTGTGTGTGGTTCATTATGCAGCCTATTTTCAGATGATTACTCTTAAAAAATTAAAAACAGCAGATTAAAGTTAAAATAATTGTATTGCTTTAAATTGGTAGCAGCTGCACATTTCTTTCATTTTAAGTGTCTGAAAAGTCACTCCAAACATTTTATTCGGCCTTTTCCCACACAAACCAGCTCTCTGCCTCCATACCAGTTTAATGTGCCAATATTCCATCACCAGCCTTTTGTTTTAGTTGTTGTTGTGTGATAGTTTTTTTCTTTTTCTTTTTCTCAGGCCTTGGTAAGCCCCCATGTCAAATGTGAGAGTGACACCTGGCTCGCCTCAGCTCAGCCCAGAGACCGGAGCAGCTACAAACCCTGGAGCAACACGGCCTCTGTCCCAGATAAACACCCAAGCCTGCGCAGGCTTCTGGCCTGCTTCACGACTGACGGGCCAAAGCACCAGCATGGTAAAAGACCCTCTTCCTAGAACTCAGTTGTTTTCACATCCTGAATTATGTTTCAGCAGGTATTAGTGTCTGATATCAGAGGATCTGCAGAGAAGCAGGCAGCTCAGTATCCACTGAGTGCAATGTGAAATACTGCTTTAATTTGGTGACTTTGATTTTACATGTAGAAAACAGCGGGTCAGTTCTTGTTAGCATCACTTGCTGTTAATGTTTCTTCAGTGTGATTATGGCAATAACAAGTCAACAATACCACTGTATCCCACACTGTCCGAGCTCACATTCACTTTAACGACATACTGAAAAATCAATATGACATGTGCCATCTATACTATTGCACTTTTTCCCTTTGTATGTTAGACCCTTGTGTAATGTGTCCTCAAATGTTTGCCATGTCCTCAGTAAATCCTCTGAAAGACAGAAAATCATAAACATAAATCCCTGCGTGTTAACTGCATTTGGCAGTTTTGGCTCTTCTTCATTACACCATTGAATGACACAATGAGAGACAATGACAAAAACATTGTGACTTAGATACAAAAATCAGATTGTATATGCACGTCGTATGCATCACAGATCGCTTCATCTCTGACAATAAGCTCTTTGTGTTGCTCACATGGAAAAAATGTAATTTTATTTGAGAAAGTTTTCCAGGAAGACAGGGTTGTCAGTGTGCTCTTTTCCTCTTTAAGCATATAAGCAAAGAAATGACACACTAGTCACATTGAAGTTATATGTAAAATTCATTGGATGCAGTGTTGAAATATCTTAAGGATGATACTTAAGGACAGGAAATGAACCACTAATGGAGGTAATTTACTGTAGCCATCCCTCCATTCAACCTTTAATGAACATTACTTGCACTGTGTGATGCTCAGTCCTTAAGGGCAAGAGCTTGAGCTGTGAAAGTAAGCAGCAAAAGCTTATTCAAAGTGCCACAGACCACTTAAAACTGTGTTTGACTGTGATTTTGATATAATGACCTGTTTGCCTAGAATTGTGCTAACTGTGTGGTATGTGCCTGCTCTGTGGTGACACAAGAGCCCAGCACAGTGAGGTCCTCACAGACACAGTGGAGACAGCGGCCCTGTCAGTTATGCTTCTATCTCTCTCTGTATGTGTGTGTGTGTGTTTAAACACAGCTGTAGAGTAAAGCAAACACAGCCTGGTCTGCCCTAGTTGGAGCCAAACTCTCTGCCTGTGTTAACATCATACTACAGTGCATCCTGGGATCTGTGTATGCGTTTGTGTATGAATGAAGGTAGATGGAGAGGTCACACATTAATGTCTCTGTCTTTGTGTATTAATGCGACGACGATGGCACCATTACTTCACCTGAATGTTTATGTTTGACTACATACAGTAGTGTGTTTGTGTTTCAATGGCTCTATGAGTGTGTGTGTGTGTGTGTGTGTGTGTGTGTGTGTGTGTGTGTGTGTGTGTGTGTGTGTGATATCAAGGACCATTTGATGTCCCCAAGCTGCTGTATGCTCATCACAGCCTTTTCAACCACGATAGTGAGATTATACTAATGAGATGTGAACCAAATGTCAAACTTAGCCCTCTCTCTCTCTCTCCCCCCCCCTTTACTCTCATTGAGCCTGAAAGTGAAGCAAAATCAGCTTTGAAGAGTTTTGAACCCCATTAAATTTTGGACTCTCAGTGATATACCATAAACTTGCTGGCAGACAGAACCGTCAAATAAGGAAGACATAGCAACCAAGCGTGGTGTTTTTCAACTAACACACGTTTAAATGTGGTTAAACTGCCAGAAAATCATATGATGATGCTATTCTGTTCTCCAGTGTAGCATGTAAGGTTACTGGATGAGCACCACATCGACATTCTCTATGCCTCTCTGAGCATGACAGTAGATGAGTTGGATGGTTCAACAAGTACTGCCTTTTGTCTTCAGTTGTTGAGTAAGCAACTGCTAACTAAACTTCCAAGAGTAGTACAAACTGCAACTATTGTCACAATCAGCCATCATACAGTTGCTATACTTAATATTATAAATGTCAAGTTCTAATCTGTAATAATTTAATAAAATTAAACCTTGTTTCTGATACTTGGTCTGCATTTTTTAAAGCCATTCACTGTATTTTAAATTAAAACTCCTCAATATAGTGAAGTCAACCATTCGGCTGGGTCAAATTGCCTTCACGCATGGTTTCCCAGGAAACAGGGCATGCATGTGAAACAGTTGTTGTGTAATTTTCATTTCATCACAATCAGCCTCACTGTTTACTGTTCACTCTCCCACAACCTTATCAGAGATCTGTTAGTTTACTGCTAATGCAAACTCGCAAAATACAGGACGGCTTTTATTGTGAAGCAATCCCAGTAAACGCAATGAGTTTGTCACCGAGGTGATCATGCCTGAAACCAACCAAGACAACGGTCATTTTTTTGCCTGTGGATTTTAAATGTTTCCAAATATTTGAATAAGTAGCAGTCAAAGTGAGCAGCAGTCAGCTCAACAAGGTGACCCACAAGAAGGCTTGGGGAGTTATGTAATCAGGATACAAAAAAGGTAACTGTAATCTATTATAGTTACAGAAAAAAGAAATTGTCTATATGAATTGTCTTGCATCGATACTTCTTATTGACATTTCTTTCTTGCTTTTATTTACATATTTGGTGTTGGCTGAGGTAATCGAAAAGCAATGGAAAGTGATCAAGTTACATTACTTTAATATTGTGATTCTTAATTAGTAATTGTATCAGATTACATTTTCTAAAGTAACCCTCCCAACTCTGACTTTGTTTGGCTGCACTGTACACGGTTACAGCTGCTCAATGACTGTTTGCTTCAGTATTAAACCGCACTTGCTGTTACCGTGGTAACCACGGGTGTCGACAAATCAACCAGCACTAGAAAAAACTTTACAATAAGGCCAGTTTGACGCTAACAACTGAAGTCACTCATGCTCCTACGCTCTCTGAGAAAAGACTCTGCAGTTTACCACTGTGGCCTAAAAAGGTTCTGCATGTCAAAATGTGCTTGGCCCTTAAATATAGCCTCAAAGCCCAACTCTCCCTTTCTGGAAGTGTCTGTTACAGTTGTCAAACGCTCTTTCCATTGCTAGCAGGAAAGAAAAACACACACTTTCTTCTCAATGTACAAAAGAAAATCTTTCATCACAGGCTAGTTGTTTTTAGCCATAGCATGGAGCCTGTTGATAACTCTGGGGTCTTGCCTGGGCTCGGCATTGGTGCAGGTTACGCTCACCGTGTCCAGCAGTGAAGAAAAACAGCAAGGAGTAACTCTGAAGCCTAACAAAGACCTGCTGTGTTCACTATACCTCAGAGTGACCCTCGGTGCTTCCCAGCAGCTCCGATGCTGCTGCCGTCATTAGCAGGAAACTTGTCCTCGCTGGTGAGTCGCACAGAGCGTCCTGATAGTGCTGATAAGGACGGAGACTCCTGAGGATGGCTATCATCAGCCTCTGTCAGAAGACACTTCCTTCCTCTAACCCACGTGCTCTATCAATGAGACTCCTCATGCTATTTTGTCACAAGGGTTAGCTTTAATGGTTGGGATCAATAGCACATTAACCCCATTCTTCTGTTCTATGACATAGTACTAATACTTAATTGCACAGTTTCAGTGCATTATGGGAACCAACTAACTAACCAACTAAATCCAAACCACAGCAGCAGTTGCGTTATAGTAATTTTAAAGCCGTTTGAGATCCTACCATGAATTCCCTCAACAAATTTCACCATAAAGCAGGTTTGTCCTACAAAATGTCAGGTTTAAATGTCTTGTGGCCTTTTTAATAATTATAATAATTTAAAAAACACCTAGAATGAATGAACCTGAGTGAACAATACCAAGCAGCTCTAAATGGGACCATAAAGGTGTTCTCTATCTATAATCCTCAATACTTTCTATTTTATCATTCATCCTACCATCAACACCTCACATTCCATTAAACGTTTAACTTTATCCCATCATTGAGTGTCAAGGCTTGTGTTATTTGTGATGGGTAGTTAAGATGTAAAGAAAGCTCCACTCCTCCACTGCCTACCTCCACATTTTCACCCACCACAGAAATCTACTCCTGTGGAATTTCCTCTCACTGGACCAGTGAATGCCCTTAACATGCAGACATGCAGAGAGAAAGAGAGGGAAAGAGAACCACTGCTTGAACTAGGAATCAACATAAACCAGATATCTGGTTCTTTAGTGGTTCACTGGATACAGAACTACTTAATGTCTCACAAATACAGATATTTAAATTGTGAGAAGGAAACACAAGGGGCTTCTTTGAAGGAGCTGTAAAAAACGACACTTTGAAAGTGTGTGGGTGTTTCCCAGTGGCCCGGTCAATGATCTGTGTCGGTTTGTGAGCATGAAGTCACAGCTTAGGTCATCAACCTCAAGGGCAAGAAAAATCCTGTCTTCTGTGTCTCTCGGCTCACTGGCGTCATCAGCTGAGGTCCATGACACAGTGATATGGCAAAAACACACACTGCTAACGCACTGAAAAGACTTACTCTTGCTACTTCCATTCACAAATTAACTGTCTGGCAAAAACACCACACACTTATATTTCACATAGTGCACAAATTGTTACAATAACTTTAACTAGAAATAGAGAGAGACCATGTATTTTTGCTGATCAGTAGTGGGACAGTAGCACAAGAAGAGAAGACTATAATAGTCACAATACAACAATATCAAAAGTTTGCTAACTTTAGCCACCATAAGCTACTAGTCATACCAGACCAAGTAAGGCTGTAGCAGCACAAACCCGTGAGTGTTCTGCACCAATAAAGGGTGTGTTTTATTGCTTCTAAATTCAACTTTTCATCTGTAAAAAGAAAGACTCGTGTTATTTCTTCTCTAAGATTAGCTGTCATGAAAGCTAGTTAACTGAAAAGTAACAACAACTTCTGGAGGATGTCTCTTAGGGACATGTACTTGATTAAGACATAAAGGACACAGTGAAAAAGGTGGCATCCGTGTTTTCTTTATAACAATGTTTTTACAGATTTTAGGAGAAAAGAGTTTCAAAGCAAATTTAAATAGAACATCCTCTTTATTGCATAGAAGTAACTTAACTGAATATAAGACATCTAATTTAGTGGAAGTTTTAGAGTTTTAGAATGAGTTTTTTTTTTTTTCAAACCACATGACAAAGCTACTCTCTCACTGTTAGACAAGTACTTGTAATGATTTACTTCCTAAACCTGATTCTTATCGACTTGCTGGCTCATCCCTGCCTCGTCTGTGCCATGCCGTACTCACTGAGCCACGCAGGGCCATACATCATGGTGCATGGTGGTGACACCAAGGTATTACCACACACAAAGCCCAACCAAGGGCAACACACATCACTGACAATCACAACAGTAAACCATTATGTTGGCGATGTCTGAATGCATGACTTCGAGCCACATGGTTAAAGCACACTTTTTTTTTCAGCCCTGGTGCCTCTCTTTTCTGAATGCCACTTGTCTTTCTGCTCTGTTGCACTGTGTAAGCCAGCGCTTTAAAGGCCTAAAGACCGGGAGAGAGGGAGCGGGAGGCAGAGAGATACGTACATACATACCACAAGCAAACTGGTGTTGACAGAGGAGCAGCTCCGGACAAGTGCAGATGCGTTCCTAATGGCTATGTGTTCATGAGAGACAGGAGACAGATAGTCAGATAGACAGACAGTTTGGGGGAGAGGTGTCGGCCTGTCAACCCCCACCCACCCTCCTCGCCTTCCACCAGCAGCCAGGCCGAAGGGGAGAGGGGCTGAGGATGGACGAGCTGCTGAGAGAGGAAAAGGGGGAAGCACAGCCGTGGGAGGAGGATGTGGAGGAGGAAAAGGAGTGGGAGGAGAGGGATGACAGGGGGAATCTGTGTGCCAGGGGCAGAGAGATGAAAAGGAGGAGGAGAAGAGGGAACAGAGGGGGGAGGGGGGAGGTGTGCCAGGTGTTCCCCTCACAGCCGTGTGGTCAGTTGCTGTCTCCTGAGTCCTCAACATACAGTATATGCACACACTCATATGGCGTCTCTATCACGCTCTAAAGAATGCACTCTCTTTGACCCATCTCACACTACATGACATACATATATGACAGCCATAACAAACACACACTCATGCAACAAAAAAAAAGTTATAGAGCAGTAAAAAGCAACACTTTTAGCACGATTTCCCTTTCAAAACACCACAGCTCACCGCAGATGTCAACGAGCCCTTCACACTCCATTTTTTCCCCCAGATCCGCTTGGTTCCAATCAAACATGTGGAAACTATCTGTTGTGTCCTCATGGCAGGGTTAAAGAGCGCCTCACTCCACAGAGTGACAAGAAGAAGAAAAAAGCAGTGGAGCAGCAGAGCTCAAGAGAAGAAAAAAAACTAACCTTCAAAGTCTGATATGATCCCTTCCAAGTGAGCGTTGACAGTGGAATCAGACATTTTGGGGAGCAAGTGTGTATGTGCGGGTGTGTATAGTGCGAGAGAGAGGGAGTAGGGTTCCCTTTCCCCAGCAAGGAAAAGTCTTCCTGGGGCGCAGTCCCGCTTTTAAACAAATCCCAAATTAGGAGCCCGTGGGAAGAGAGAGAAGGGGAGGGGGTAAAAAAAAAAACCAACACAAGATTTGAGCAGCTCACTGATCCAAACCCTCTCTCTATCTCTCCTCTCTTCCCTTAAAGCAGCAACTTATTTTTCTCTTCTCCTCCTTCTCAACTTCCAGAGCTTGGAATGAGCCAGCGATGACAACCCCCCACCCTCCCTCTCTCCCTGTCTCTCTCTCCCTCTCTCGCTCTCTCTCTCTTTCGAGCTCACTGTCTTCCCTCCCCCCCATTTCTCCTTCCCTCCATTCCTCCCTCCCCTTCTGCAGCCGTCCTCTCAGACTGGTTCCTTTCTGTGAAAGCACTCATTTTTGACTGGGCTGGTCAAATTATACGCATGCTACATTCAGACACACTTCCTGTGGGCTCGATCACATGACTAACACACTATGGGCTACTGATGAAACACACAGAGTTACTTACTGTGTTGAAAATGCCAGCATCAGCATCCTATAAGCACACAAATCAACGCAGTCACGTTGGGAAAAGGCACATCTCCATTCAAACAAACTTAAGGAGTGAAAAGTTACAGTAGATAAGTAAATAAATCCAGAGTGGAGACAGAATCATGGACTAATATGGTCAGGACGGGCTAAAGCAGGCGGTCAGTAGATCATCTGACATGCTCAGTCGCTCTGGAGGCAGACATCAATAAATAAGTAGCCTAATGACTTAATGACCATGTGAATGAGCCTCTGTGTGTGGGGGCGGAGGGGGAAGGGTGGACAGGGGCATTGGTCACGGGCCAACGGCGATGAACCACTCACTGCTGCTGGCATCTTCACCAAAATTAACCATTTAGTTGTGATGAGACAGTACGCACCAACAATAAGCGTAGAATTAGTAGTGTGTGCGTGTTAGGAGACTGTAAAGATCTACTGTTTTTCAAAATAAGGGCAGCCCTATAAGACACTTGAGGCAAAAATTGGAGATACATGAAATGAAAAATGCCTTTGCAGAGATGGTAGAAAGTAGAGATACGGATTAAATGTGGATTTAAACTGTGATAAATGATTCAGGTTGTAAGACAACAGAAAAAAAAAACCCTCAATAGTATAGTATAAAGTACTAAATAAAGTGTTTGGGCCTGAAATCCTGCATGTCTGGCAAACTTACCGCCAATTTGTTGCTTACACTGGAATCAAAGGGTGCGTTTTCTGTTGATTTAGGCATGTTTACCGATCCTAAACACAGATGTACGCAAGTGCACAAACACACACTAACACACAGATTTAAAAAATAAATATGAGGCTTTACTGTACCAAAACCTGCAATCTGAGATTAATCTTACACCACATTCCCCCTGCCATTGAACCATGCACCATGAAGCAAGTATATAGCCCACAAAATGTGTGAGAAAACTCTCTGATCGTCAGTGACTTTCTGGCTAACATGAAAACTGGACCTGTGCCTGGAATTCTTAAAAGTCAAGTCAAGTGAAAAGCGTAGCTAGCTGGGATGCCTGATTGTGAGGACACATCATCTACATCAAGTACCATGTCAGTGAAGACAGTAGAGTTTTTAATCCTTGTTCAAAAGATGGTCTTCCTACATGGCCCATCCAGAAATAATAACATAAGAACATACTTCAAGTGTGTTTCCTTGAAGTATGAAACCCCACAATATTTGATTTCTCCAGCAGGGGTCAGCATTGCTCCTATAAATATAATGTGTCGCTACAGGCAACAGTGTTAGTGGTAGTGGTGTCACTAGCATACAGTAATGTGATCTGAAAGCAGATGAAGATGGAGACATGAGGAGAATCCTGCTCCAGACACACCCTTCAACCCTTCAACCCACACAGTTTCTTCTGCCCAACATATGTGTGTCAGATTCCTCCACTCCCTGGCACACACTCATATTCAGACATACACGGAGTTGCATACACACACACACACACACACACACACACACACACACACACACACACACACATACAACAAATATGTGCACATGCACAAATACGAACATGCACAAGCAAACATGCACTCTCGGCCCAGCACCCAACCCTTTCACTGAAACACACACACACAGACGCGCGCACACATACACACACACACACACACACACACACAAAGCAAAGCAAAGCAAAGCAAAGCCCACTTCCTTCCACTGCATATCCTTGCAAGCCCCAGCAGGCCCAGACAGCGCTAATCCAATCTGCTATAACAACTGTCACACTGGGGGAGGACTTGAATGCTTTTCGTCCTGATCTATAAAGAACTACATTCATATCATAGCAGTCATAGTGATGCAATACGCAATGCACTGCTACAAAAACTGTTTTAATCTGCCTTTAGCGGAGCATATGCCTTGTTACATACCGTAACAGCCTTAATGCTCGTTCTGAAACGTTATACAAGGTCATATTGATGCCATATATCAGTGCTGATATAATTTAACTAATTATGGTGTGAATTCCGCTGCACTGACTCATTTTTCTGGTAAACTGTATTGCTACGTCATAGTTATCTTCCTTGTGTCTGAAGGGAGGATGAGTTGCTTCTAAAAAATCTAAATTCTTTCTTGTCATCACTGATAACGAACTCTGAGATATAGAATTAATGCAGTAGGCATAAGCAGTATAGAGCTGCTACCTGTAGGCCTTTCTGATTCTAAAATGAGTTTTGACGGTGGTGTTGTGTAACTGTTGTGATGATAACTAATGTCTGTTAAAGCCAGATAATCAATTGTTTAGCTGCCTGCACATTAGTGTATTGTAATGTATTTGAATGGCAGCTGCTGGTGTTATATTGCACTGAAGCATAGAGATGAAGAGAGACAGAAACAGGCGCTTAAAGAAACCCAGACCACCACTATACAGTGGGTCCTGCCCTCGTGAGACCTGAGAAATGAGAGGAGCACAGTGGGAGGAGAGGAGGAATAACGTCTATAAACGGATGCCAGCCCGGTGTGGCAGTTGCTAGGGCAATGCCAGGGCAACAGCAGGTTGTGAATAACACGAACGTACACATGCACACAAAGACACCAACGGGTTCACATGCCTCGGCGCCACTCTCCCCCTCCGCTGCGGTCTAGCCAGTGCCAGTGGACAGACATCCTGCGATCTCTGGAATCTGAGCTGCAGCTCCAAGAAATGTTTCAATAGTAACCAAACCCATAATGGGCAGTGGGATGCAAGGATACACCTGACCTGATTTATCCACAACTACAGCTATGTCAAATTAATCTTCTTATAATAACAACCTTATTTGTATGGATGCAGTTGAAAAAATCTTTCTAACCAACTGTTTTCACCGGTCTATATCTATCTGTCTCTGCAAATGTAATTAATCAATTTCATTACCAATTAAGTGGCAAATGGAAAAGGGGGAAATATCTTGGCAGAAATAAGACTTACTAACTGTTTCAATACTAATAAAATTAAAGCATTTATATAGATGACAAGTTCATAAAAATACATTTTCAGTAGGGGATTTAAAAGACAGAATTGATGTTGTGTATTTTATTGTGATGGAATTAACAGCAGCTGAAAGTTATGGCTGAGAATAATGATCAGTGTTTCATCAGGTCATGTCAAGTTTAGACAGTCTTGTTTTCTCAATAATTACCAGTATGAGCAAAATAGGAAACCCCAGCTTCCTGCTGAGTTCATCCTGAAACAACCAAAGCTTTGTTGGCCTCCAAGCAGGCGACTCACCCATGAGTCAGGCTATATAAAATAAGCCATCTGGAAAAGGTAAAATCTGTGCATGTTGTGTGTTGGCGAGTGCAAGCATTGCTTGCGTTGCTTGCGTGTGTCCATCTGTACATGTGTGTATATTTTGGATGTGGCTAGCTAGTTACCAAAACTCTATTGACATGGCAACCCCCATAATAAGCAGCTTCACCTGGCTCGGAGCTTCAGAGGGGAGAAGGGGAAGAGGAGAGAGATGGACGAGATGTGAGGAGAGGAAAGGTGTGCCAGTTCTTTCCCCAGGCAAAGAGGGAAAGAGAGAAGATAGAGAGAGAGAGATGATGCGTCACTGAACCCCCCATGGCTTTAATGGAAACTAGGAAGCGGGAAGATTTCTCCCTGCTGTGTATGAGAAAGAAAGGAACCACAGAAAGAGAGCAGCTTTAGCATGACTAATGGAATCAGCAGCACTGGTAGTGTAAACATAACCAGAAAAGTGCCTGGCTTTCAGTACAGTACAGTACAGTGTTTGCAGCTAAACATGAGGGTGAATAGCAAGGGAAAGCACTTCAGTGACGATGTTAAATGTTTGCGACAAGTAAAAGAAAATAGAGAGAATCTGCATTAAAGACATGTGCTACAGCAGGTCAGACAGATTCATAATATTACCCGCACACACACAAACACCCTTCACGTGGCCCCAGAGCCCACTTGGTGAAGTAGCTTCATCAAGTATAGGCACAGCTGTAGTGACAGCAGCTGCCCTTAACCTAATGTTAAACAGCAGCACCCAGCCAGCCTCTGCTAACTTTAATCAAATACAGCACCTGTTGGAAACATGGCTCTACCGCACAGTATGCACACACACACACACACACACACACACATGCTGGCATACCCCCTCGATTGCTTTCGCTCACTGGTCACTCACTCATTATGCGAGTGTATCTTTCTGCATACATGCTGCTGCCTGCATGTGTGTGTATGTGTTCCCTCACGCATGGGATGGAATGGCTTGGTAAATAGAGAGAGCAGCTGTCCTCCATCAGATATGACTCTCAGTAGGCCTCTCTCTCTCTCTCTCTCTCTCTCTCTCTCTCTCTCTCTCTCTCTCTCTCTCTCTCTCTCTCTCTCTGTCCCACCTCCGCCCTCGGCTCCATCTCTCCACCGGGTAATAACACTGTTTAGCACGTCAACAAGCCAGCATTGTGATTGCATCCTCGTTGCTCCCGCCGCACTCACATATTGTTCTGCTCAGCGCGTTGCCACGGCAAACCCACCCAACAACACCAATCGTATGTCACCAGAAGGCAACATGGCCCACAATTTCCTTTAATAAATGCTCTCCTTAAATCTGCACAGGGTCATGTTCAAAACAAGTAGTCTTGGACAAAGAAAAAAACAAGCTAAAAAAAGAAAAACAGCACTTGTGTGAGTGTTTACAACTGAGAGGGTGAAGTGAGTATTTTTTATTTCTCAACTCAG